CCCCAAAACCCCAAAACCCCAAAACCCCAAAACCCCATTTGAACTTACTAAAAATGAAAAATTTAGAAATATAATAGGAAACTGATTATTACAATGACCACAAAATTTTAATTCTAAGTTCTAACGCATTTAAAATTAAATTCAGACAAACATTGGCTTTTTCAGAGTTAAAAAGTTCTTCTCGGCTTAGGTTTGTGCCCTAAATACAGGAGCAAAGACCTCAAATCTTTGGTCCAAAATTAATTTACTAATTAAAAGAAATAATGGGCTTATTATATTTGTTTGGTTTCACAAAATCACCGAATTCCAAAAATATGAATACTTCAATTCTATTGAAATTTTTCAAGAAGTATTGTGATTATCAAAGTCTACTCATTTCATAGCTAGTGCATAATTTTAATAACTCAGTTTACAAGGTTTCGTAATTTCCGAGCATTTTCTATAAAACTAAACCTACCATTTAACTATTAAATTGGGAAAAACAAATACATTATAGTGTCCTTAAACCAATCAATTAGGGCCAAGATCTTGCGATTGTTAGTATGCTGGGATAGGACTTAATTTTCGACCTTGGTTTTGCTTGCAGTGAGATGAAAAATTCATTAAATTTCAAAGACTATATTCTCTGAAATGCTTGGTATATAATCACACAAAGCTTCCTAGATTCCCTGTAATGGCTTCTTTGTCGTGGTCAATGAATTATTAGCATTATTTTTAATGAGCTGTGCTAAATGAGCCGTTTTCATTTAGAAAATTATGAATTTTAGGCAGTATGGTAGGAAGAATATAGACATGGAAAGCATCATCCCTATTTCTGGTTTTCCCTAAACCCTAGGTAATAGTGTCACAATATTAAAGGTCGTCTCTCATCTAATTTCCAACCGCTACAGGATAGAAACTCCCTAAAAAGCACTACCCAAAAACTTTAAGATAGCACTTAAGATAACCAAATTTTTAGAAAAATTCATTCAAAAGTATGCTTACTCATTAGCATTCCTTTAGTATTCAGACCTTCATATAAATGTTATATTTGCCATACCCATTCGAAACACCCGGCCGTATACATGATTGGAATATTGGGACTGTTATGACCAAAACGGTGAGCAAGAGGAATTATAGTTCGAGTTAAGTATTTTAGTAATAAAGATATGAAGTTATGCATATATTTAGACCTCTAAACCAAACCGTGCTGGTAGAAGGATATGTTTTGGTGAATGGTTATGAAACTCTGAAGGTGGGAGTGCATCCCTCTTTGTTTTTGATTTTGTGAGCACTCTGTCTTTTGCGTTTGATGATAGCGAGTTGGAGAAGATCTCTAATTTCAGCTTTCATTGAAGTAGATGTAATCGTTTTCTTCCTCTTCCTGATGAATGTGACATCATCTTCATTTATATTTAATGAGTCCATATTAAGAACTCCTGTAGCTGAATTGTTAAAGCTTGTGAAATCATAATCATTTGAGGAAAGTTTCTTTAAAGCTCCGACATCTTCAGATATTTTTATCTTTAATTGTTTCCTTTTGGGCAAGCTCGTCGGGGCAGATTTCAATCTGTCCCTATTATCCTTCATTCTTAGGGGGTTATTGCTCATATTCTTTTCAAGAGCACTTCACATCTTCACCTGTGCGAGGAAGACTCCTTCATCAAGTAATTCATCAGGCAAGTTCTCTTCAGATCTCTGGTTGGCATCAGCCATGTCGAAAGAAAAATCCATTTTAGTAAATATTTATTAATAATCAGCCGGAAAACTTTATATTGGGGTTTTGGGGTTTTGGGGTTTTGGGGTTTTGGGGTTTTGGGGTTTTGGGG